TTGAGAGGTGAGAATCTCGATCCTTATCAGATTCTGATTGCTAAGCGATGAGGTATGCTCTCCCTACTTCATTACTGTCATAGTTGTAAAATGAATAATGTGTTTTACCACGGAATCAATAAGAGACAATCAGCCAGTTGTGAGACTGAAGAGAAAAGGGTGTTAAAACCAAAATTGCTATGTTTAACTTAATGAAGTGCTTACTAACACGAAAATATTCCTACAAGGCTGTACTGGCTTTTATGCCTACGTGTTTTCAAGAAAAATAGAAATTTCAAATCAGAAAATGACAGCTTTTCATCTGTTTGACTTTTTGCCCAATTGGATTTGGGAGGTATTTGAATAATGGATAATGAGCTTTACTGAACAAACACAGAAATTAATTCACTCTGGGCATAAATTCATTTTGTTACCAGAGCTTTGTATTCATTGGGAAATCATATGTTACCTTGTTAAATTAGTGCCATTCCACCCCTGAAGTGCTGAGGTACATTTGAATGATTCTTGAATTGTTCTGTGTTTTTGTTTAAGGGAGACTTCTGGGAAACTGTTTCATGGCAAGTTTATTATGTCCTTTTTGGCTTGGCTCCTAAATTTACCCAGTGTTCAACTTTTCATCATCAGCTTTAAGGCCTTTGTTTTATTTTATTTTGTAGAAATTTTACATATTTGGTGGACTATTTATTTTTGACCAGCATAATAAAAGATCTAATGGGGATATTTTATGCTTGTGATAAAGTCAGCTTATACTTGTTTATTAGTGAGCAATCTTCTTTTTCTATAGCTATGGGAAAGTTAGCCTACCTTTGATAGTTTTAGAGTATAGAAATCTTGTTTTGCTGCAATTTTGTATAAAATTTTATGGCACAGTAGTTTATTTACTTTCTTCTAAACCACTGTTGTTAATTACCTTTAATTTTAAAGATACTTTCTCACTCCTCAATTTTAAGACTATTCTCCTGGCATTTTATTTTACTAAATGAAATATAAGTACCTGTATTTAGAGCCAGCATATATTTCCCATAGGCCATTCTAAAGTAGAGAAACACTTAAATGGATATATTTCATTATTTGTAAATTATACCACAGAGTTTACTAGAAAAACTTACTGAACTACACACTTCATATGTGTGTATTTTACTCTGTGAGTATACCTTAATTTTAAAATCTGTTTTTAGCCCAGCTGGTGTGGCTCAGTGTTTGAGCGTCGACCCATGAACCAGGAGGTCATGATTCGATTCCCAGTCAGGACACATGCTCTGGTTGCGGGCTCGATCCCCAGTGTGGGACGTGCAGCAGGCAGCCAATAGATGTGTCTCTCCCATCCATGTTTCTGTCTCCCTCTCCCTTCCTCTCTTTAAACACACACACACACACACTGTTGTGTGAATACCTCTTATTTTCCCTTTATTAAATGACATAGCCAGGTTTTTACTTCCTCTCTCTCTCACCAAAGAAGTGCATATTAATGATCCTTTGGCTGAATCAGTTACACACTGGTATGGATATTTTGACCCTGGTTTACTCAGAGTATTCGGTGGTTTGTCCATATTAAGTATTTCTTCCATCTTCATCCGTTCACACCACTTGGACTGACCTCTGATTGTTTTCACCTCACAAGGTACAATTTGTACCTGTTGCTAAATGCTTCAGACTTTGATTTTCATTACTTCAAGTTATTTTTTTTCTGTGCTCTCTAGCATTTTCCTGAAAGCTTAATCATCCATAAAAGATGTGATGTGTGTGTTACTATAGATTCATTTGTTTAATTATAAACCTACCTGAGTTTATAATCTGTCATTGTGCTTTTAAATTATTGGCTTATCCTCTACTATGAGTCAAATATTCCTCCCTGCCATTTTGCAGTTTTTAAATAAGTAGAATAGCAGGATGTGGGCATTCTTTTTTCTTTCTTTTTTTTAATACAAGTTAAAAATGCACCTGGCTTAAGAAGTTAAATAGTATCATAATAGGTTTGTGATAAAATCCAGTTATTGGCTTGTCCACGCCTCAAGCCATTACCCCATTCTTTTCTCCCCAAAATTACTATTTTCAACTCTTGAGCTACTGATTCTAGCTTGTATATATTGTATATATCCAAATTTCTAAGGAACATGTTTATCTTTTGATTCATTAATTTAGACCTTTATTAAACTAAATTTCATTTTCTTAAACACCTCCTGCTTTTCCTCTCCTTTGTTTCCTCTCGCCATCTTCCCAATATGATATATTTTTTTGGTAAAAAAACAGTATTATTTACATTATTTCTCCCTAGTAGTCACAGTTAGTGTTGTACTGTGCTGTTTACTTTTTTAAAAAATTTCCTGTAGTTAATAATTGCCTGTTATTTTCATTTGCATAGTTTTCTTTCTACCTATTGCTAATTCTTCTCATACCTTCTAGTAGCCTTTCAAAACAATTTTCTCAAGGTCACTTAGTGCTGTCCAGTAGAAATACAATACAGCCCTCATATATAATTTTACCTTTTTAAGTCGCCAGAGTGAAAAAGTTTAAAAGAAGCAGATGAAATTAATAATATGGTTGACTTAACCCAATATGTTCAACACGTTATTTCAACAAATAATATTTAAAATATTTAAGACATTTTACTTTCTTTTTTTTTAGTACTAAGTCATCAATATCCAATGTGTATTTTACACTTTACGGAACCTCTTTTTTCAGACTGGTCACATCTCAAGTGCTCTCAGTAGCCATGTGTGACTTGTGGCTGCTGTATTGGACAGAATAATTTCAGGTGATTGCCTGGTTTCAGTTTTTTTTCTTGCAGATATCCCTACTGCAGACCTCCACTCTCTTTCTCTCTGGGTTGGTTGGACTGTAAGCATGTCACACAGAGCTATCATCTTGAGGCTTTCTTTCCTTTTCTTCTCAATTAGATTTCCTCTCCCTAGATTTCAGGTCTTATCCTCACTTCTCTCTGGTCCTTTTGGTCACAGTTGCTATACGGACAAAGACATATTGTTGATATATCTATCTCTTGAGTCCTTCTGCTTTATTCTGGCCTGTGTACTTCCTAGGTCTGTCAATGGTTGTCATCCTGGGAGCTACTTCTTTCACAGTTTGGGGGGAATTTGCCTTTGCTTTTGTGTTCTTCTGGCAAAGTCAGAAGCCATCCTGATCACCTTATTTTTTGAAAATTATCTATTTTTTTCTTCCTGGAAACTTATAGAATATTCTCTTTGTCAGCAGGATTCTGGAATTGCAAATTCATGTGCCTTAGTATGGATCTGTTTGTATTATTATGATGAGCACTTAATGAGTCTAGAAGATTTTCTTGAACAATATTTTGATGTTTTCTTTCCTTGTATATTTTTAAAGCTTTCTTTTCTCTGTGGTTTATTAAAACAGGGTGTTTTTTTCCTGGTATGTTTTTTTTTCCCTTGTAAATCTTTTTTCTACTAGAGGCTTTGCTCTTACATCTTGTAACCAGTGGTTGTCTGCACATGATGAAGAGTAGGAGCTTACAAGGCAGATCAAGAACTCTGAGCAGGTGGAAGAGGCTTGTTAGGGCTGAACTGGCCACGAGCCTCTAGGGCAGCGCTTCTCAACCTGTGGGTCGCGACCCCTTTGGGGGTTGAACGACCCTTTCACAGGGGTTGCCTAAGACCATCGGAAAACACATATATAATTACATTTTTTTTGTGATTAATCACTATGCTTTAATTATGTTCAATTTGTAACAATGAAATTGGGGGTCACCACAACATGAGGAACTGTATTAAAGGGTCGCAGCATTAGGAAGGTTGAGAACCACTGCTCTAGGGGATTGTCAGTTGCACACCCTGGTATCTTTTGGTCTTTCCTCTTGTCTGCTTGGATCATCTAGAAAGCACTCTGCCTCCTGATTTAAGTTTTTCAGAAAATCTCCAGATGTCTGCAGATGCCTGAGGCAGCAGGCACAGGGAATAGTAGGGGTGGTGGAGATCCTGCTCCACTCCTGACAGATTTCATCCTGCAGTGAATCCCATCCCCCTTTCCAGAGAGGCAGCACTGGCTGAGTCTTTGGAGGATTCTGTGGTGTAAATCAAGGTGGTTCTCTGCTTTTCCCACTGTGGGCTTGCAAGTCCTGCCAGCTACTGATTTCCAGCTTCCAGAATTCTGTTGCTGTTGTCTTCTCTCCTTTTCTTCCCTTGTGGATTTGTCTTTTTTTTTTTTAATTGGAGTAAAATATACATAAAAAATTTATCACTGTAACCATTTTTAGGTATACAGTTTAGTGGCATTAAGTGCATTCACATTGTTGTGTGGGTTTGTCTTTTAATAATAAAATACAAATTAAAAAGCAAAGATTTTTAATGTGATTGTGGTGGTGTCTTATGGGGGCAAAATTAGATGTGTGTAATCAGTCTAGCAGGAGGCATAATGCAGGTTTTCTGTTAACCCAGGAACTTCCTCTTTCTGACAGTTGAGTATAATGGAATCTGTTTACCATCTCCTAGGAAAGCAGTTGGATAATTTATTGGCATAAAGTGCATTTTATCTGCTCTTAACAACTGTAACTTTATAAAAGGTTACAGGTGGACTCCCAGGCTTTATGTTCAAGGCTGTCCAAGGTCTGGCCTACCCACCTATATGCTCCAGCCGTCTGTCATTCTTTCCCACCAGCCTACTGACTGTCCCTTCAGCCCTGGTGTCTTTGCTGTGCTGGGTGTTCCTGAGTGGAAACACACACACACACACACACACGCATGCACGCACCTTCCTTCTCCCTGCCTTCTTCTGCATGTGTCCAGCTCCCAACCCCACACTGCTCGAACCCCAGCCACAGGGTTGTTCCTCTTCTGTTTTTCTCTCATGACCTTATACATGCCTCTGAATTATCACCTTGAGTTTCCCACACTGCCTGCCTGGCTCCCTTTGATGTCTGTTTGCGCACTGGGTCTTCCTCAGTGCTTGGCACATAGCCCATGCTCAGTTAAATGTCTGCATGAATGCCTGATGCCAGAATTTCAAGAGAACTCTTTCTCCTTTTTTCATAGGATATCCGCCACGAAGCCAGCGACTTCCCATGTAGAGTGGCCAAGCTTCCCAAAAACAAAAACCGAAACAGGTACAGAGATGTCAGTCCCTGTAAGTATTCACATCGCCATTACCGCTCTTCCTGCTTCCATTGCTCTTCCTGCTTCCATTGCGTGGGGCTCTTCTTCAACTGCAGGGCCTCTCAGTAAGACTCCTTTAGCCCGGGGGTTTGGTAATAAATCAGTAGCCATAGAGGTTTATGACTTGATTGTTTCCTATAACAAAGGCATTAGAGACTTATAGTAATGGTTCATTTTTCCACCATCGTAGAAGGGATAAGGTTTCATTTTTCTGGAAAATTCAGCTAAATTCAGAGCACTATTTTAGCTTTGACTGTTTTTCTGATGAATCATTTTCCTACCAGCTGAAGCAGAGTAGAGCAGGAGAAATATATCCTTTTCTGGATGACTCAGCAACAGTATTATTATTAGACCCCAAGCATTGTATTGAACTGTGATGATGCCCTATGCAGGCATTCAGAGGTGGGAGCTGCTCACTCCCTCTACTAAAGGCACAAGTCAGCTCTGCTTGTCAAGTCCCACCCCCCTCTGCCACCATTCTATTTCCAGCTGTTTTCTGCCGTTAGCTCTCAGTGTGCCTGCTGGCCTCTGGCAGCCTCTTCTGCCTTCCGAGTACTTGGCTCTCAGTCTACTGATATCTTGAAAGTAAATAAGTCAGTGTGTTAGAATTTGTATAAAGCAAGACACATTGGAACTTTGCCATCTCCTCTAGGCCACAGAAGCCTTTTTGCCTCACCTTCATGGTTTTTAGATATTGTCAATAGGTGAGTTGTAACTGCCCACATCTCCTATGGCAGTATTCTCTGCCTGGGTAGAAGATTCTGTGGGTCATCCCTTAAGCATACTGCCCTGTCAGCAGTGCTCCCTGCCCTGAATTGAACAGGGACCAGGCTCCTGGGAGGCGAGTTAAAATGGACCTAGGTTGGTACAGAGCTGTCTGTCTCTGATTGCTGCCACAGTTCCCTGCCTAGGTTTCTATCTCAGCCTGCCACTTCCAGCTGTGTGGCTTTGGGCACAATGTTCTCTTCTCTGACCCTCAGTAAAACAGTAGTCATACTGAAGATGAAATAAAGTAGCATCAGCCACTTGGCCTAGTGTCTCACTCAGAAATGTTGGCAGTGGTGGAGATCGTCATTAACTGAATGAAGGCAAATGCCAACAGCATCTAAAGTGTAATTCTAGGGCATCAGGTGACACATGATTGTGCCCCAACACCTGACACTCTTGAGTTAGCTTGTCTAGGCTGTGACACATCAGAGATTATATATATTTTTTAAACTTCCCTGAGTGATTCTGCTGTGAGGTCCTGGCCAGCATAATAAAAGATCTTTCAACATTGCCGGGAGATACCCTTTGTCTCTAGCTTTTGCTGTACTTTCTCTGAGTTAGTCAATAATGTGTTCAGTATTTCTTTTCTCCATCTTTGATCAGTGCTCAATTAAACGGTTTTATGAACCAGTTTTACAGAGAAAGAAAGCCTTTAAAATATTCTTCTAGGGAAACATTCCGAAACTTTTTTATCCCCAATCTCACTTCTCATATTGTTATTTTCTCCCCTACATCCACTCTCCAGTAGAAAAACTAATTTGCTTTTAAGGTTATGGAGGAAATGAGAGAATGATTCAAGGTAGAAGGGGATCTTGTTATCTTCCATCCAGTGAAAAACCAAATGCTCACAGGAGTTGTTTGCCCAAGGTCCCCCAGCGCTGTTTGAACCCGCTCACATAACTCACCAGTGCCAGTCACATAATTTTTCTTCATGACCCACTTACATATTATCAATCAAGCTATTCAGTTTGTATTAACCTTCCACAATGAGAAAAAGTGTTCCAAATTGCTAATTTTCAAAATCATCTCTTTGGAATCTTTTAGAACAAAAAGCCCCAAACCATTTGTCTTCACTAACTTCTTCCCCATTGAGCTGGGGAGAAGATGCTGTTTATGGGTGATCACCTGAGTTCATTATCCCTTATGTCAGCGGTTCTCAACCTGTGGGTCACGACCCCTTTGGGGGTTGAACGACCCTTTCACAGGGGTCACCCAAGACCATCGGAAAACACATATATAATTACATATTGTTTTTGTGATTAATCACTATGCTTTAATTATGTTCAATTTGTAACAATGAAAATACATCCTGCATATCAGATATTTACATTACAATTCATAACAGTAGCAAAATTACAGTTATGAAGTAGCAACGAAAATAATTTTATGGTTGGGGGTCACCACAACATGAGGAACTGTATTAAAGGGTCACGGCATTAGAAGGTTGAGAACCACTGCCTTATGTTATATCAGAAATAAAAATCCTCACCTGTTGTTAGCTGCACTATTAGGAATAGGAAAGTGGCCCTTGGGGAATCATTGTTTCTTTGACAAAGTCATGGTAAAAGGGGGGGAAAATGCTGTACTTTTTCACTAATCTGGACAGAACTTCCAAATGAGAGTTTATTTTTAAAAGCTATTCTGAAAGTTACATTTAATATACTGTCAGGTTTTTTTAATTCAAAATTACTTTATCTAGTAAAACTCTTTTTTAAATGTCTTTGGTCATGACAGATTCTGACTTTGAATGATTTAGAATTACATACTTAATATATTAAACTTGAACTTGAGTAAAAAAAAAAGAACCTGTGTAAAGGAATTCAAGATGTGACTTTTCACACTGTTGTGTACTTAGGTCATTTAATCTTCAAACCTTTAGATGTAGACTAAGTTAGGGTGTGCTCATAAATTCTATCCTATAAAAGTATATACAGCCCTAGCTGGTTTGGCTAAGTGGATAGAGCATCAGCCTGCAGACTGAATGGTCCCAGGTTCGATTCTGGTCAAGGGCACATATCTGAATTTTAGGCTCGGGCCCCAGCCCTGGTGGAGTGCATGCAGGAGGCACCTAATTGATGTTTCTCTCTCTGTGTCTCTCCCTTTCTTTCTACTCTCTCTAAAAATCAATGGAAAAATATCCTGGAAAAATATCCTCAGGTGAGGATTAACAACAACAACAAAAGTATATACACGATGGGGCAAAACTAGGTTTATAGTTGTGAGTACACAAAACAGTTCATTCTCGTGTTATTATTTATTGTTGTATTATTTTCCATATGAACCATTGTAAACCTGCTTTTGCCCCATCCTGTATTAGGCATCAGAACAGATTTCTTGACATCTCCTCTCCCCAGTCTACCAAGCTGTGAGGACAGTAATAAGTGTCGCAGGAAGATACGACCTAGGCACAGATTTCCCAAATGGGACGTAATCCATGTTTTAGTGTAGTTTGTCCCTGTTGCTATTTACTATTAGGTTTTCAGACACTTCAGAAACCTTCCTGAAAGTTATCCCCATATTGATGACTGGTTTCCATTTAAAAGGCATTGCCTCAGCCAGTGTGAATGCCCTTCATGCTACCAACTCAACTTCTTTGCTTTCCCTATGGGTGCACTGCCTGTGTAGACACTTTGGTCATCCAGGATTAACCTCTGAGTTCTGATTTGCCTTTCAGTTGACCATAGTCGGATTAAACTACATCAAGAAGATAACGACTATATCAATGCTAGTTTGATAAAAATGGAAGAAGCGCAGAGAAGTTACATTCTTACCCAGGTAAACCCGGGATTGTCTGAATTTTGTTTAATGGTTTTTGCCTTACTTGTTGTCAATTGAAGCATTTAGAGTGCTGTTACTACACCTCAAATAAAATCAGCCACATTCTGTAGAAGTTCAGGTTTTAAACCACCCATAAAAGCAACAAGGTAGGAAAAAATCCTCCTTCAGAGATTCAGTTTGGTTGTAACACTAATCTTTCTGAGAAGTATGACATTGCTGGGCTTATGAGAAACAGCATTTAAATGCAGAACTGCCTGTGGTCTGTTCACAGAAGCAGCAGAGCCGTGGCTAGAGAAGGGCCTGTACCTGTATTGATTCCATAAGTGCCTCAGAGCATTGAATGCTTCTCATGGAAGTCTTAGAGGAGTGGTAGTTACTAGGAACTTTTGTCCAGATATCCATTCAGAATTCTGTGGCATGGTCCTCCTTTTTTGGTCCAGAAAAAAACCATTAGAGTATGTGAACAAGGATGCAGAATCACTTAAAATTCCCATTGGCTTTGGCATCTTTATGGAAAGGATCATAAAAGTGGTTTAATAATTGATCTTCTTGTGAAACATTTACTGGTATAAGGCCCAAAACAATGGGTTTCTGGGAATGGGGATAAAGGAAATTCTTTTTGATTTTCTCAAGTCTTATTCTGTTATCTGTAAGTTAGTCTAAACTAAGTTTCTCTCTTTTTGTTTTCTTATTCCATATCAGTTTATCAGTCTTGTATATGGCTCTGAGTTGTAGGGTGATTTTTGAACATCAGAATTCTGCCTAATATTTGGAAATTAAAATTATGGAGAAGCCAGAAAGCACTATGAACAAAGGGCTGCTTTGGGGGCAGGGAGCTTAAATGAGGGCATATAAGTTGTGGCCCTTCTTCTCTGCCCCTTTTTTGTCCTGTCCCAGTCCCCATGTCCATGACCATAATCAGCCCAGATGCCTCCCAGTTTTAATGTATGGAACGTCAGCCATGCAGTGTTCACTTCTGGGGGCTATTGAGTAAGTTCTTGGTATATGAGTAGGGGACAGGCCATTATTGGGATGGTTGGGGTGGGCTGGGGTGGGGTGATAAGGAGGAAGATCCTTTGTGGTGTCAAGCTGGTGGGAAGAGGTTGAGGCAAAAGTGGCTTCTTGGGAACTTGTCTTTTCAGAAGAAGTCAAGTCTTACTTCCTGATTTCAGCCATTCAACTTTGTGTGGGGTCAGGAAGCCCAAAGCAAAGATTCATAGGTGTATAGTCAAATGGAATGAAAAAAATCACCATGGAAACTCTTGTTCCCTGTCTTCCCCATCTCTTTGCCCTGACAATTTGCCATTTGGCACATCTGAAGTTCTGTCCATTTGAAGGGTGGCACCACAGATGTATCTAGCTGCTGACATGGTCTCCCTTTGCCCTGGGATTTACAAAAGGGATTAAAGCAGCCTGACCCAAAAAGTTGCACCTCTAGATAGTATGACTGAAACATTTTCCAAACCACAAAACCAAGAAAACCCTGCCCGGTTTTTTAATTTTCATTATTGTTCATTATGCAAATAATACCAGTCTTTTTGAAAATCAGAGGTATAGATGTGTTGTAGAGAATAATGTCAACAGTGCCCACCTTCACCTTCCCCATGAAGTGTTGGCTAAGTTTGGTATGAATCCTTTCAGATCTTCTGGTTTTTTAATTGATTTTAGAGAGGAAGGGAGAGGGGGAGAGTGAGAGAGAGAGAATAGAAACATCAATGCTGATAGTCATCAATCAGTTGCCTTATGCAGGCCCCCTACTGGGGATCGAACTCACAACCTAGGCATGTGCCCTGACTGGGAATTGAGCCATGACTTCCTCATTCATGGGTCGATACTCAACCACTGAGCCACACCAGCCAGGCTCCTTTCAGGTCCTATGTTATATTTAATCCCTCAGATCCATTCTAAGCTGGAGTGATGTTGGAGGGTAGGGAAGGCAACAATTGGTAACCAGAGCCAGAGAGCTGCATCTGTGGAAAGCCCAGTGAGGGATCCTCGTGCTCAGGTCAGAGATTCAAAGGCCTGGGTGGCCAGCCAGGAGGCCATGTGATTCAAGGAGCCACTTTTCTGTTAGTTTAGGGGAAAGGGTTACACATGTAATCCCCGTTGTATGAGTCCTACGGCATGTACGTGGAGTGCAAACTTTTGGGTCAGACAGCAAGTCTGAGATGAGTTCAGAAAAGAAAAGGAGAGCACTAACTGTTTGCTTGGGCAAGGAAAGTGTGGTGAGACTACAGGGGAAAACATGTAAAGAATAAGGAGAAATTGGATGAAAACAAGTAAGAATGGAAAACATTCCAGTGCTGGAGGAGATAGGTCTTACTGAAAACAGACAAACTTGAAGCACTTGTACCCTTGTATTCACTAAACATCTATGCCCTTTGTAGGTGGGCTAGAGTGAGACAGGCCAGCTGCCTGGCAGTCACTCCATCATGACCCTTGGGCCACCTGACTGACCATTTGTGTTGTCCACATCTCTTATGTTCCATGGTCCAAGGATAAAGGCTGTCTATGGTCAGGTTTACCATTATTAATAGTAATAATAATAGCTAACATCTCATTGGTTGTTTACTATGTTCCAGGTACTGTGGGAAGACATTGATATATGGAACATAGTTAATTTTCAAACCCCTATGAGTAGATGCTGTGGTTAGTCAACTGAGATAAGTAGAGAGAGTGAGACCTGAGAAGTGAAGTGACTTGTCCAAGGTCACACAGATAAGTAATTGGAACTGGAACCAATTGCCGTTGATCACTTCCCCATACCCACTAGTTTTGCTTGATATTCTTCTGCACCTGATAGTTTTGCCTAATAGGTGGGTCCTAGTGGAGCCCTTTGACTGACCAGCCTAAACCAGAAAGCAGAATCAGTGTTTTTTTAATATATTTTATTGATTTTTTACAGAGAGGAAGAGAGAGGGACAGAGAGTTAGAAACATCGATGAGAGAGAAACATCGATCAGCTGCCTCCTGCACACCCCCTACTGGGGATGTGCCCGAAACCAAGGTACATGCCCTTGACCGGAATCGAACCTGGGACCCTTCAGTCCGCAGGCCGACGCTCTATCCACTGAGCCAAACTGGTTAGGGCAGAATCAGTGTTTTTTTTCTCCCTTGTTGATCAGCCCTGAGATGTGGAAATGACCTTTCACCATGTGTTAGAATATAGAATTGTGGTTACTGACCACTAGGCAGGGAGAGTTGGGTCTCTGGCCCAGCTTCTGCCCCCACTCTGCCTCAGGGCACTGTTATCTGCTCGTTGCCAATGATGAGCTTGCACTGGAGTATGTTTCTGTATAAATGGCATGCACTTTGTGGGTTGTTTTTTTGCAGGGCCCTTTGCCTAATACGTGTGGTCACTTTTGGGAGATGGTGTGGGAGCAGAAAAGCAGGGGCGTGGTCATGCTCAATAGAGTGATGGAGAAGGGATCGGTAAGTGTGCATTTACCTATTCTTATGTCACTGTCTGCCTGTGTCAGTTACAATGTTAACAGTTTCTTTAAGTTTGCTTCTTTGAATTGCTTTTAGATTTCTTTTACATAGTGTCTTTTTTATTTAAAAAAATTAAAGAGGCACTATATAAATACATGTTTATTATAAACAAGTCAGATAAATAAGTGAATTAAAAAGAGAGACAAAGGTAAAATTGCCCTGTCCCCTTCCCACCCGCCATCAGTGAGCTTCTCTCCAGAGTTGTTTTGTTTTTTTTTTGTTGTTAATTCTCACCTGAGGATATTTTTTCATTGATTTTTAGACAGAGTGGAAGGGAGGAGGAGAGACAGAGAGAGAAACATCGATGTGAGAGAGACACATCAATTGGTTGCCTCCTGCACCAGCCCCGACTAGAGCTGGGGATCCACCCTGCAACCAAGATAAGTGCCCTTGACCAGAATCGAACCCAGGACCCTTCAGTCCGAGGGCTGACACTCTATCTGCTGAGCCACACCAGTTAGGGCTCTCTCTCCAGAGTCTGATGTGTGTGCTCTGCTTCACCCTCACCTGGGGTTCCTGCGCTGCTGGGGTGCATTATGGAGCTGTGGAACCATAGTTTCATTTTGAAAGGCCAGTGTCTACTGTGTCTTCACATGAGCTTTTCTGGCTGTGGGAACGGCTGGACTCTGTATTTGCCTCTGTAAAATCCCAGCCGCTTGGCTCCTGGCCGCATTCTTCAGTGTGGACACTATCAGCTTATGCATTTACTTCAGGATTTGTGTTACCCTTTCTTCCGAGTTCTTTGCACCTCTCAAAACATCCCTCAGCCTAGTATGTGGACTAAGGTGTGTGTGTGTTCGGACCATCACCCCCCGTGCACCTGTCCCTTTAGCCATCCTCACCACTCTGCTTTCCAACCTCTCCCCTGTCTGTTCTGACCCTGCATCCAGAATGACCTTTCTAAACCCACTTCTTCCCTCTGAAAACCCTTCTGGGGCTCCTCCTGCCTCCTAGTAATATGTAAGGTGGCTGCAGGATCCAGCGTGATATTGAGTGTAGTTGGGCCTCAGTTAACTTGGACCCCACTCTTCCACCTCTGACTCCAGCCAGAACAAACCTTTTTTTTTTTCTTTTTAATTTTCTTGCCAGCTTACCATGTTCTCTAGGCTGAGAATCTGAATCATAGTGCCCACCCTCACCCCACTTCCAGGTGTCCTCAGATTGCTTCCCCTCTGGTCAGCCGTAGCTTGTGATGCCTTCCCTTCCTACATGGCTTATTCTGCAGGATTGCCTGTTAAAAGCCTGTCTCCGTGTAAGACTCCATGCATGCCCAGCACAAGTGTGGTATTCAGCATAGCAAACAGATGCCACCTCCCCACTACCCAGGTCCTTCCCTCCTCCCCCAACACCTGGCTCAGCTGTGGCTCTCCAGCCTCAGAGGTGAAGCCCCAGGAAAAGGCTAGTTGAGGATTCTTCTATGAACCGGTGCTCAGGAGCAGAGAACTGGGTGGGCTGGGCCTGCCAGGTGCCAGTACTGTGCTCTCCTGGGCGTGGTTAGGCACAGCTCTCCAGCTCTCCCGACCACCTTGGGACACAGTTGTGGCCAGAAGAACATGAAGGCTCCAAAGAAGCCACTTCTCCAAAGAAAGCACAGTCATGGCCCTAGAGCAGCCGTGGGCAAACTACGGCCCGCGGGCCGGATCCGGCCCGTTTGAAATGAATAAAACTAAAAAAAAAAAAGACCGTACCCTTTTATGTAATGATGTTTACTTTGAATTTATATTAGTTCACACAAACACTCCATCCATGCTTTTGTTCCGGCCCTCCGGTCCAGTTTAAGAACCCATTGTGGCCCTCGAGTCAAAAAGTTTGCCCACCCCTGTTCTAGATGATGTAAAGGGTGGGAGTTTTAAATCAAGACTCACTGCCCTAGCCGGCTTGGCTCAGTGGATAGAGCGTCGGCCTGTGGACTGAAGGGTCCCAGGTTCGATTCCGGCCAAGGGCACATGCCTGGGTTGCGGGCTCAATCCCCAGTGGGGGTGTGCAGGAGGCAGGCAATCAGTGATTCTCTCTCATCATTGATGTTTCTATCTCTCTCTCCTCCCTTCCTCTCTGAAACCAATAAAGAAAAGAAATATATTTAAAAATAAATAAATAAATAAATAAATAAATAAAGACTCATTAAAAAATCATCAAATATGATAGCATTTACTTTAATTTATTTGTTGCTAAAAGTTTGGGTAAAACCTCTTTGTTGTTTGCACACGGTTTGCTTTAACTAACGTTGTCATAGTACAACAAGGGGCAGTGTCCCAGCACTGTAGTTACATGTTCGTCACCAGGCCTTGCTCTTGATTGTCTCCTGCCCATGGCTGACCATAAGTGAACCATAGATCCACTGTAACAACCTTACCCCTTGGATTGCTATGTCGGCCATTACGACAACATGGCTGGTTGGTTTTGTTATAGTTTATTGTGATAACATGACAGTAGTCCCTACTTTCCTTTATAACTGTTTTCACTCAGGGTTATTTGGGCATGAAAAGCAGCATATGACTTGACATTTTCATTTGGCATCAACAGTATCATCCCATAAGGACTGACTGGCAAAAAGTATAACAAGATGCAACATCTTATTTGCTCAGCTAATCTAATTATAAACTATCCTCACAGCCGTGGTAAAAACCAGTTTGCAGAGCATTTCCATTTCATGTATGTTTGTTTTCTGGTTTCCTTCCTTCACCAAATAGTGTAGGATGTTCTCTTCTTATTTTTGGCAGGCCTGCCTGTTACCCTTTTGGGACCCTGTGCTTCCTGGAAAACAGTGTGCAGAAAATGATTGTGTGTGTTAGACTGTGGTCATGCAAATGGCCACATTGATTTGATTTCAGTATTAACTGTAGGTGTGTCAATGTAGAACGTGATATGTATGTAGGATTGGGATTGTTGTTTAGGCAGGAGAAATAAACAAGGTGAGTTTATCTTGTTATTCCAGAAGTATGGCTTATGTCTCTCCTGAAATCCCTACTAAAGGTGCTGTTTGATTTCAAGTTCTTTTGGGGCTCATCCATCTCTCTCATGCTCTGCTTAGTTCTCTGTGTTCATCATTCTGTGGAAAAGCCAACTGGATTGTCACAGGGTCACCCCGATGACTTTCATAGATTTTTCTTCAGGTTGCCCAGCTATTTGTTTTAGGAGGTCTCTCTCTTTTTCTCCCTTTCACATACATACACAGCTCACTCACATCTGCCTTCATGGCAGTGACAGCAACTAGGACAATACGGCCGTGTTGCTGTTTGGTGCCGATCCAAGGCATGCCTCAGTTGGAATCCTGGTGAAAGACTGCTTTCTAATTAACTCTTCTTTTCAGGTCGTATATTTCTCTTTAATAGGATAACAGGAAGTAGTGAGCTTGTGCTTATTTTTTGTTTTATTTTGTGTTTCTAAAACAAATTTTATACAGGAAATGACAGAGCAGAGTGTGGCATGTTACTGTAGATGCCTAAGAGTTCTCAAAAGTAAACATCGGTTGATTGACACTTAGGGTTGCCAGAATGCCTCAGTTGTAGAGTTCCAGAGCCTTGGTCTTTACCCAGATTACAGAGCTTTATTAGGCTTAGTGGGTGCTTGCTGTATGGAGGTGGGATTTAGAAACTCATCTTCCCTGCCCAGGAGACATGAAAACATTGGCCTCTTGGTGATGGGCTATTCTGTGTCTCTGCTCCTTTATCCCATTCTCTCTGCACTTGCCGTGTTGGGTGCTCATGCCAACAAACATGGTTTTGAACTTGCCCAGACAATCGCTTTGTTTCTGGGGTCTTAAGGAATGACAGGTATAATTATTTGACCCGTGGGAATAAATGCATCCTTTAAAGGTCTTCTAAAGTCTTGCTTTCAGCTGCCCCACCTGTTTTGGCCAAGCATGGGCCTTGCCTTTCATTAATGTTTCTGTGTCCTGAGAGGGAGAATTGCCTCGATGCTGACAGATTGGCCCCATTCCAGAGGTTAGTTTATCTTTGGCAGCTCATCATCAGTGTGGGGGGAGGGTGACAGGGGTGAAGCTGGCCAAGAATTTCAAACAGGCCTGTGTCCAGGCTCTTAGAAAGTCCTATTAGCCTTCTGTTTGGGGACCGTGGAGTTAGATGTCGTGTTGGCATCGCATGCTGGTGTTCTTGATTTGTCTGTTTTTGCTTTGTTTTTTGGTCGTGTGCAGATTTAGCAGAGCAGGATCGATGGGCATTTGTGGTTCTGTGTTCATCATTCTCAAGAGCCTCCTGGCTCCTCATTGCCCAGGTGATGCCACCGGTTCCCGGGCCTGCTGCCAGAGTCACTGTGGTCTAGGGCCTCCTTTGGCCCCGTCTTCCGCTGCTCCTCTGAGATGGGCTTCTTTGTAGTCAGTGCCTAGGAATTCCTAGACATCCTTCCAAAATACTGCTGTCAGAGCCTGCTTCTTCCACTGAGCCTTCTCTGATCTCTTTCCCGTAACCCCAGCCAGCCTGAGACATTTACCTCTTCTGAATTCCCAGGGCACATCCATAGCGTTTTCTCCTCAGCACTTCCCTCTGGCCATCTTGTCACTGCTGGGCATGCACAGCCTGTCCTGATGGACAGTTGGCCCTGGAGGGACCCCTCCACTTACTGTGGCATTTCAGACACAACCATCCTTTGCCTCGGAGGAGGTGTTGAGTGGGTGACTGCATGTTGAATTACAAGTGTCTTGAATTTGTACCATTTCCCAAAGAGCTATTTGCACACACTGATACTTCATTCTATGGAAACCATAACATCTTTGAGGTTCCATCATAGACAGCTTAGCCCTCGTCTACCAGCTGTTTTTGACCAGAACAGTCATCAGCAAGCAGAAATGATAGGCACTGGCGCAGAAATTTAGCTCAAGCAAAATATGCCATAAAATGTGAGTCAAATTCTTAAACTCTAAATGAAACCAAATCTTTGGAATTTTACTTGCTTTAAAGAAAAGGTTATTCAAGACCATAAAGTAGTTTCTGAAATTATTAAACTAAAACATCAATAGTGTTTTTCTGAACTGAAGCAAAGCAGAATGAAAGTGCAGGATGAGGCAGTGGGTGATCCCATGCCTTGGAGGAGCCCCTCTCCAAACCTTTGCTGAATAGTTTTCACGTAATATCAGCCCTTCAATCTTTCAAAGTGTTTCACATGGTCTCTTCTAGCCATGTTTTCAATTAGCCTGTTATTTTCCCCAGGGTAAGATGTCTGCACTATGCCAATAGCACTGATCAGATTCCTGGCAATCTTTGAAATGGTTACATAAAGTACTTTGTGAGAGACTGAACGTTTTGTGTAATATGGCTTCCCCTCGTAGGTGATAGGGAAAGGATCTGACCCATGAAACACCGCACTGTCTGATTACCAGGGAGCTGCTGGCTTGGAAGTCTGTACCCGGCCTGCGCAACTAGCCCTGATTAGATCTTCACAGGCCCCTCCCTATCTCCCCAAAGGGAAGGGAGGTTATGCGAATGGTGGCTTCCAAGGTCAGAAAACCTCAGGCCTTTGGATTTTCTTCAAGTTCATGGAAGGTACTTCGAACCTTCTGTCATAGGAAAACAGTCATTTGCTCACAGTAATTCACTGTTATTTTCTCCCCTAGTTAAAATGTGCACAGTACTGGCCACAAAAAGAAGAAAAAGAAATGATCTTTGAAGACACAAATTTGAAATTAACATTGATCTCTGAAGATATTAAGTCATATTACACAGTACGACAACTAGAATTGGAAAACCTGACAGTAAGTATGGCATGTACTTAAGTATTTCACACGGTTACTGGTTGAGATTTATTTTTCTTTGGGTGATAATTACCCAATTCCAGTTTTCCTGGTTTTGTATACCCTGAGCAAGATGTGGTTTTGGCACTGTGGTGAGCAGACCTTACCTGCTTATTTACCAGGTCATCAGAGGTGTCTTGAGTGGCAAGGGAGGGATCTTATATACCTCTTTTCCTATGGAGCTCACTCTCTCTAAACTGGAACATTAGGTAACACCAGTTCTTAGGAGAGGGGAGTTTCTTATCTAAAACTTATCTGTTCCTACCTTTGCAGCTATAGAGGATTGAAAGGTCAGCCTGCAGAGCATGCTGCCTTCTTTCATTGTCTGTGGCCTTTCTTCTGAAGAGAGGGGAAAGGGTCCTTCTAGGGCTCAGCCCAGTTTCCTAAGATTCATAGCCAGTGTAAGTTTTCTAGGTGAGGTCTTAGGTTTATTTGTTGTGGGAAGAATTGATAATACTGAAGGCTGGCTATTAGTAAAAGGTGGTGCTGGAACATGGCAAGACACTATGCTAAGAAGCAGCACCACAGAAGGCCCTGCCCCTGAGGATTCTGAATCACTCACCTGGAGCCATCTCTCTGAGGAGCCCATAGCTCAAGGCAGCTCCTGGGGACATGCCCAATCGAGGTGGTCAGCCACTACCTTCTGGAACTAGAGTGCCTGGGTTTGATCCTGGCCCACCATAGCAAACTGTCAGGCTCTGGGAAAGGGGCAGATGGCTCACCGTGTCTCAGTTTTCTGACGGTTGGAGGAGGTAATATATGTGAAGTGTTAGAGCAGCGCCAGGCCTAGAGCATGTGCTCAGGAAGGGTTAGCAGTGCTGTGGGATTGAAGTCACATGGGATCATTCTAGGAGCAGCACAGATGACCAATTAAAGACAAAGTCGGGGTGGGAATCACATGGATTGGGGCTTCCGGGCGGCGTTAAAGAGTAAGGATCTGCGTCTGAGTTAACGTTTGCTGCTTAGGTGCTGTGCTCTCCAGTCATCATGACTCCAGCTGCTGAATTTAGTAGTTGAAGTAGGTGGAGAGCATAGCACAGGTCACTGTGAAGTAGAGAACCGGTTAAAATCGCGTGGCTTTTGAGGAATGCAGCAGTGTGGTTTATCTGAGTGCTCTCTCTCTTCTCCCTCTGTGATAGCTCAAGCTGTGAGCCCTGCCCTAGCCATGCACGGAGGCTCAAGGGAGTGATTTATGGAGGGGTTTGATGGAGGATTTTCAGGAGTAATGTTGGCAGCAGGCTGGAATGCGCCTGAAGGATTATGTAGTAGACTTTTTAAAATGCTTTTGAGCGTTTGCAAGCCCGATATATTAAGAGTGACTTCTGGTAAACTCTTGAGAATAGTTCTCCTGCTTGTTGAGGGAAACGGAATTTGGATGGAGCAGAAGAGGTTTGTGCTGTGTTGGTGGTGGAGCAGATACAGCCGCTCAGAGGTCTCAGTGTTAGTTAGGAGGGTCTGTTTGCTCTAACAGGCTTTATTTTTAAAAAGTCTCTTCTCGGACATATGTATCTGTTCAAGCACAGATCTAGAATGAATTCCTTGAGAACAAGCTGGGCAGGTGGAGGGAGGGTATAAACAAGAGATAACCCACATCATCTTCAGGATTAAAAGAGATAACTCACCTTTGGCAAACTTTTAAATATATATTAAGTGCTTTTCTTTCCCTAAAAAATAGAAGAGGCATTTTTTTTTAAGCCAGTAAAATATTAGGAGATCATTTGCTAGGGAGGAAAGAATGGAATTGCTTAGTGTCCTATATAATAAAGAGCTAACATGCTAAATAGACCGGACGGAACTTTCTGGAACAACCTTCCGTAATGACCAGTGGGCGGGGCCACAAGGGCCGAGCCCTTTGCATGAATTTCATGCACCAGGCCTCTAGTGATTCTATAAATTACCCTAATGTCATAGGTAGATTTCTCCCAGTTCTGTAGAAAGATACCAGTGTATGCAATAGCTGGCGCAGGGTTGAACGTGGGTAGTCTTTTCTGATTTTAGGTTATTGGTTTTTATTGTAGGTCCTTTCATTTGTTTTCATCACACTAGGGTCAGGGAAAGTTGTTATAACGAAGTTGTAAGCTCTGGAAGGGCAAGGGTTGTATCTTTACCTCATGGTGGCTGGCACATGATAGGCATGTTGTGGACATTTGCCAAATGAAGGAAGACAGTGTTAGTAAATGGGTCTCTGGCCTGAAGCCTTTCTCCATCAGCTGCTGTCCAGGTGACCTTGGCACTGCTTTGTAAGAGACCCTCAAGGCTGGCATGGTTCCTTTAGACCACCTTCCTATGCCCACTTTTGCAAGTATTGAAGGCCTTACTTACCCAGTGCCTGGTTCCCATGTGCGGTATGCCTTTAGCTTAGAAAGCTCTTAAGTGCTCTCTTCCCAACCAGAACTGCATTTTGATCATTGCTACTGGAGACCAGGTGTCCATTCTGGGTCTGGACTCTGAGGCTCAGAGGAAGGAGCAGAGCTAGAAGCAGCACCAGAAGTCATTCTTCTTTCTGCTCCAATGGAAGCAGACTGCACCGGGGGAAAACACTTGGGGACACGGGCCAGGGTCCTCCTTTCAAAAGTTACTGAAACTGGCCCTAGCTGGTTTGGCTCAGTGGATGGAGCATCAGCCTGCGGACTAAAGGATCCCTCCCAGGTTTGATTCCGGTCAAGGGCACATGCCTGGGTTGCAAGCTCAACCCCCAGTAGGGGGCCTGCAGGAGGCAGCCGATCAATGATTCTCTCTCATCATTGATGTTTCTATTTCTCTCTTCCTCTCCCTTCCTTTCTGAAATCAATAAAAATATATATATTTTAAAAAGTTACTGAAACTGGCTCTGAACATGGTCTCGAGTCAAGCCAACTTAGATTGAAACTCCTGCTCCTCCACTTAATGGAGGGTTGGCCTCTGAGCCTCAGTCTCCTAATCTGGAAAATGGGAATACATGCCTTGAACCAGTGTGCTCAGCACTAAAATGAAGTAAATGCTCAGGATCATCTCTTCAGCTGGGTATTGAGCTACACGTGGCAACCTCCAGTCTTTGGAGGTAAAGTTGGTTGCCTTTTTTTTTTCTAAAATGATGATCCTCTGAGATGTCCAGATAGTCTGATAAAGCCCTGAGTTACCTAGAGCTGATGCCACATACACACTGTTTATGTTTTCACTTTTTCATGTGAAACCTTGTGCTGCTTTATGGCATGGTCATCGTGGGTGGCAGTGCAGCGTCACTGTGGGGCAGAGAGAAATCAGTTGTAATGAAGACAGCAGCGGTGAGAGGGATAGTGCAGAAGAGGTTCCATCCTAAAGGAAGTGAAGTCAGAGCAGGAGTAGCCTGTGGTCCAGTGTCAAGCCCAGGACCCGGCACCTCAGTGCTTGGTATTTGTGATCTGGGGGGCTCATTGTCCTTGGGAGAAAATCTGAGAATTAAAGCTGTTCTTAGAGTGAATGGAGGCACTTCGTGCTTACTTGGAACCTGCGATTTCTGTGCAGATAATTCTCTTAGAATCTGCATGAGTATTTTTCTCTTTCAGACTAAAGAAACTCGAGAGATCCTACATTTCCACTATACCACGTGGCCTGACTTCGGAGTCCCCGAATCGCCAGCCTCATTCCTGAACTTTCTTTTCAAAGTCCGAGAGTCGGGGTCACTCAACCGGGAGCACGGCCCAGTCGTGGTGCACTGCAGCGCCGGCATCGGCAGATCGGGGACCTTCTGTCTTGCTGACACCTGTCTCTTGCTGGTAAGGAGGCCCTTGAAGAACCCAGGAAAAGAAGGGACCATTTGTAAACTCTCCTCTGGCCTGGCCACAGCTTCTCTGTAATGTCTCTGCAGTCAACAATCTTTGATCTTCCCTTTGTGACAACTTCCCTTCCATAAAAATAGCTTTACCCCAAATAGCTTGGTTCAGAGGGATATTCTTCATTTTAAAGTGAAATCCGAGAAGATCCAAAGAATCCCCTGTCTCTCATTCTTTCCCACCTGCTTACATGGTCCCAATGTTGCTGCACTGGCTCCCATTTTCTAGACTCCTGCCTTCCCTGCTGTGATTTTTTTCTGAGTGGGCACTGGATAGTTGGGCTGGCTGAGTTGTGTCTCCTATCTGGCTTTTAGATGGACAAAAGGAAAGACCCTTCTTCTGTTGATATCAAGAAAGTTCTGTTAGAAATGAGGAAGTTTCGGATGGGACTGATCCAGACAGCAGACCAGCTCCGTTTCTCCTACCTAGCTGTGATCGAAGGTGCCAAATTCATCATGGGAGACTCTTCAGTGCAGGTCAGCATTGCTTTTGCTTTCATTGATTTCCAGTTTTTGTCTCTGAAGAAGGGAACTGTCCGTTGTAAAAATTCACACACTGTCATCTTCAAGTGTATGTCTAGAGACCCGAGAAGCCATCACCTCTGCTCACTAAAAGGGGACAGATTTCCTGCAGAGCAGACAGGCACAAACACTGATGGGGCTCCATTTGCTGCTTTTTCCAGGAGCAATGGAAGGAGCTCTCCCACGAGGACCTGGAGCCCCCACCTGAGCATGTCCCACCCCCTCCCCGACCACCCAAACGAATCCTGGAGCCACACAATGGGAAATGCAAGGAGTTCTTCCCAAACCACCAGTGGGTAAAGGATGAGTCCGAGGAGGATAAAGAAGATGGCCCCATCAAGGAAGAAACCAGAACCCCCTTAGGTGTCCCCTGTAACATGGAAAGGTAATGTGAGATGGTCCTGGCTTATTGGGGGTGAGGAGAAATGACCTTCTGTTTCAGAAACCCTGTGGATGCAGCCTCCTGTTGGCACACAGTGCTTCTATGTCCTTAGGGAATGGAGCCCCTGGACTGTCCTGCTCCTCCCCTGGCTGGAGGAGTCCAGGTACAGAGGCACTGGTTGGCCCTGGGAAGTGACCAACTTCAGTGGGGTTCTAGCACCACCTTGTGGTGCTGGTTGGAATCAGGAGTCCAGCGTGCTGGGCATCCTGCCCAGTGACCTCCCCCAGGCTTCCAGCCAGTCCAGAAATGGGATGTCCATGCTTGACCATGTACCTTCAGCCCCTTCAGCCCCCGAAATGGTCTTTTTGGGAACTTAAACTTTTCATGTAATCTTGACCCAAGTGGATTGCCATAGTTCTTTATTATTTTCTTAATCCTCACCCATTTATTTTTTTTCATTTATTTTTTTTTTAAAGGGAATGAAAGGGAGGCGGGAGAGAGAGAGAGAGAGAGAAACATCAGTGTGAGAAAGACACATCAATTGGTTGATTCCCATTGTCGCCCCAACTGGGGCCAGGGATTGAACCTGCAGCCAAGGTACATGGCCATGACTGGGAATTGAACCTGCAACCCTTTGGTCTGCCGGCTGACATGCTAACTATTGAGCCAAACCGGCAGGGCTGCTTCCCTTATAGTTTAACAAAGGTTATCCGGCCCTATTGATGCATGTGAAATACTGATATAACTAGAATATAGCTCTTGGTCTATGATCTAGACCCTGTTGTTGGGAAGGGGACAGGAAATTGTAGTGGGAGCCTGTGGTCAGTGATGTGATGGGGTGCACGCGGAGAAGAGGCACTCAGCCTTCCCTGAGTGTCAAGGAAGGCTGCCTGTAAGAGATGGCACAGTGGAAACTAAGAAGAATGAATGGGAGTTAGCTCCAGCCTGAAACTAGGGAGGCAGTGTCCTTGGTACCTGCTGTTTTGGAGGATAATTTAAGATGAGTGCACATTTTTACCCAGAACTTGTGTGCTTCTAGAAAATTAGCCTACAGTAGTTCTCAAACAAATGTGCAACGATTGTATAGGAAGAGGTGTTTGTTGCGGCATCATTTATAATGGGGAGAAACTAGAGATGAGTCAATTATATACCCATGGATTAGGTAAATCCTCTTTCTCCCTTTCTCAGGATGCTCTGCAGCTCTTAAAGAATGGAGCTGGCTGTTCTTATGTGGCTGGACATTGGAGTGGCAGTATCCGAGAAAGCGAGTGACCATGTGTACCCCACAGGGTCCTCTGGTTAAATTGATCATCAATATCTCACCCAGGCACCAGTTCTGACTCATGGACCTGAGTCCGCAGGTCCTTCATGCACTGGTCCTTATCACAGAAACACCAGACTTGGTTCTGGAGAGAAACTTGTCCCGTGGGCCTCCCAGAGCAGGTGCCTTGTGATGTGCTGAGTATCGCTGACCTCAGGGACACTGTGCCCGGTTTCCCAGGGCCTCTGTTGACATTCTCAGGGTGGGCCAGTGTGCTCTGTCCGGGGGCTCACAGAGGGCCAAGGATGAGAGAAACAGGCTGCAAATGACTTACGTCGCATTTGTGTTCTGTTTGTGGAGAGAGCAGTGCCTTTCACATTCTGTGTATGAAGATGCTATGTAGGGAAATAGGGAATTTGGGAAGCTAAAAGCCAGAGGGTCCAGAAAAAATGGGAGTTTTACCAAGAACATAAGTGCTGCTGGGTACCTGTGGGAGCCCACATGCCCATAGACCTCAGTGCTGCGCCAGGGCCGGGTAGGGAGGGCGCTGTAACCAAGTGCTCCTGCAGCCTCCTCCTGTCTCCCGGGAAGGTGGTGCTTCAGGTGGTTTTGTCAGGCACAAGCTGCTGGGGTGGGAAGGCCCTGAATGCATGTGTGAGGCCGAACTTCCTGTGGCCAGGGCCTCCTTGATGGAGGCAAGGGTGGAAAGGAGAGGCCTGGAGCGGGAAGGGAGTGGAGAAGAGGGGCCTGGCTTCTCATGGGCCCATGAGCCTCTCCTGACACAGCCCTGGAGCAAGAACACTGCACACTGCCCCCCCTGGGTCACCATCATGAAGGCAGCTAGATGACTGGCTGCACACAGGACGCCCGGGAAAGGGTCCCCCTGGCAGGATTGGATTAGTGCTTGGGATTCAGGCCTGGGAGAGGTGGGCAGAGGGTCAGTGGGAATGTGTGGGGTCTTCATGTCAGCAGTGACAAAGGCCCTGTGGATCAGCATCTATCAGGGTGTCCTGAGAGAGTGTGGAAGCATGTGGGCCACACCATTGCCTTCCCTGATCTGAATGGGAACATTCTCCCATACAGCAGACTCCAGGGCAAAGTTAGCACTTGTCTTGACGCCAGTGGCTGTACTTCTCAGACCTTCCCCACCCTCCATCACTAAGGAGTCCGCAGGACTCCTGAGCCCTGGCCTGGCTCTGAGGACCACCTGAACCCCTGGGAGGAGGCAGTGACAAGTGGGCCCTAGACCCATGTCAGCAACACCAAGCTCTGTCTGTATACATGCGACTCACGTTTTCCTAGAATTCCCTCCCCCTCCCCCATAATAGTGTCTTGGCCATTGTTTTCCCCAGAGTGAGTAACCCATCTCTGCCCCTCTCATTCCTCAGCGCGAGTCAAGACACTGAAGTCAGAAGGCGGGTCGTGGGGGCAGGTCCTACCCAGGAGGAGCCGTCGCCACCCGAGGAGGAGCAGGACCAGGCGCTGACTCACTGGAAGCCCTTTCTGGTCAACATGTGCATGGCCACGGTCCTCACGGCTGGCGCGTACCTCTGCTACAGGGTATGTTTTCACTGACGGACGTGCTGGTGAGACCATGTGTACAGAACGCACTGGCCAACAGCCTGGCGTTAGCATTCAGTGCTGTGGAAGGATCTGAGCCAGTCTCAGAAGAAACAGATCAAAGGTTTTAAAGTCTGGAACTGTGAAGGGCTAACGAGAGAATTGAGGATTGATGCACTGGGGTTTTAAGGAGCCCTGTGGTCCCAAGAATACAAGCGTCTAATCTCAGGGCCTTAACCTATTCAGGAGTAAGTAGAGAAAATGCCAAATACATCTCTTTCTCTCTCTCTCTTTTTTTCTTTTTTTTTTTTTTCATTTGTTTTTGGGGAAAAAATAGAATTACAACACATTGTTGTTTTTAACCTTTATAAAAAGCAGCTTTTTGTTATTTCTGGGGGGGAAAAGACTAGGCACTTATGAAACTTTCTTATACCCTTAGCTGGTGTAACCTGATACACAATTTCTATTTGATTTCCCAGGGAAAGACTCCCACACTTTGAGGAATGTAGAGTCCTCTGCAGAAGGGGTTAAGGTATAGGACGCGGACTTGCTCAGTCACTTCCTCTGCTGTGCGCACTGAGCTTGTCCAGGTCCTGCCAGCTTTCCCACTTAAGGAGAAAAACAAGAGGCCGTCTGTAGGAATTAAACCTGGCTTGTGCTTTTGCTCAGGGTGTCCCCACTGGTTTTCCCTCATTCGTGTCTCCATTGATCCCTTGTAGCAGCCATCTTGCTCATGTCCTGCCCTCAGCACCCATCCACAAACGGGGTTCCTTGAGGACCCTGCCTCAGGGTCAGAGGTCACCACAGGGTGGGTGGCCACCGGCTTTTTACCCTGCCATTGAGATCCAGAAGGAGCAGTTTCCACTTGATTTGGACTGTAAATGCCATTTCAGTAGACATCCACACCTGAGAAGTGAGTTGCTGTTAAAGGGGAAGGGAGGATTAGCTTCAAAACTCTGGTCATGGAAATAACCTCACAAGACTTTTATCATTTAAAAATTTTACCTCTTTTCAGGTGACCATCTTTGAGTGCATCAGATGGTTTAGTAACACACAGTTTTTCCTTAGGGATGATTTTTGGAAGGGGTGGGGGCTATTGTAAAAAAATAAATAAATAAAAGCCTCTTTTATTGGAGTGGCCAGGGTTTGGGGGTGGCCAGGTAGTGCCAAGTCTGCAGCTCTGCTGGGCGGGTCTGGGCTCAACTGAAAATGTTTGGTTTCATTCCAGTTCCAGTTCAACAGCAACACATAATCTGACCCACCTCCACCCCACTGCCCGCTCCGCTCACAGAGCCCGCACCTGACTAGCAGGCAACGTGGTAGGTAAGGGCCGACGCACAGCGTGGCCAGTTTGACGGGGCAGATGTTTGCCCTGCGCGGAAACTACCCTCCCCAGCTGTTGGTAGTTTGAAACTACCCCTTTCATTTTACTTTCCCCCTCCTCCCCTTCTTTATGTACCAAATCCACAACCCGTCTTTTTGAGGCAAGCAGAAGAGGGCCCCATGCTGGTGGCACAGGAAGGTGGCCTGTGCGGGGCGGCACACGGCTTTTCCCGGGAGACTCTGCGGAGACTGCTTGTTGTGAGCCTCTCCACTCCATATTTATTTTTTTATTTTTTCCCCAGAGGCATCCATAGTGCACTAGCATTTTCTTAAACCAATAATGTATTAAAACGTTTTGATGTCAGCCTTGCATGAAAGGCTTTCTCAAAAAGTACAATAATAAACCCTCAGGTAGTGCTGAGAACGTATGACTTTGCCATGAGCCCGCTGTGTCAGAGGAAGGAGGACAGCTGTGAGCAGTGGGTATTTCATGACACTGTGGGTAATGTGAGAGGAGGTTTGGCATTTGTTTATAGAGAGTGGGGTAATATATAATGAACACTTGGATATTTAACATACATGACAGGAGATGACTCTGTCCGGTTATTCCCCGCCCCAGTTTTATCTACTAGAACTTTATTCTCCATCACCGCTTTCCCCGTGGGTATTAGAATGCATGTTCAGTCTTGTGTCCTGATCAAATACCACGTGCTTGAAATACTTAGATCTCTGCTTATAAAGTGCCCCGTGTATAAGTCAGATTTCCCCTTGCATGATCAGATCATTACGTGCTGTGGTTCCTAAGACTGTTGCTGAACTATTCGCTGTTCAGCACTGGAGGGATGTTTCCAGTAACAGATACTGGCCTCATTCCTGGCATGAGACTCTGGTGACTTCCTGGTGAGGTCCGGCTGGTCCCACTGTAACTCAGACATTCCAAGGAGATGGGAAGCCATAGTCACACCTCACGCTCTGGACGTTTAGGCAAGCAGGGTCCCCTGCACACACACCTTTGGGATCAGCCTCCACTATCCCAAGTGCACACTCTTCTTGAGAAGACTGTGATTTGGAACCGAGGCAACTGTTGGAAACCACACCTGAAGCAACCTGGATGATGATGGTCCCTTGGAGTCAGCCGGCTGCTGTCTCAGTCGGGAGGGCCTTGCTGAGAGAGGCCTGTCTGCCCCTGCCCTTGAACCCTGGGGACTGATGGTGCTCACGACTCTTCTTGTGAGGGGAACTTAAGACCTCCACATTAAGTGGCTTTTTTAACAAGAAAAAAAGGCAGCTGTAGCTCATGAGCTGCTCTTTTGCCAGCATTTTCACATTTTGCCTTTCACGTGTTAGAAGCCCGTGCAGAGAAATTCTGTGGTGGGAACATTTGAGACATCGCCCCGCAGAGCCCTGTGAGGTGTGGATGAGGCTGAGGTGCCAGGCTGTAAGCATTTTGAGTTGGGCTTGTTTGTTTCTGAAGTCCTGTATATGTATGTAGTAGTTTGAGTGTGTATATATAGTAGCATTTCAAAATGGATATAATGGTTTAACCTCCTATCTTTGGAAAACAGATGGCTCTCCATCTTGTTACACGTATGTTAGAGAAGTAGCGAGCTGCTCTGCTATATGCCTTAAACCAATATTTACTCAGCAGGTCATTATTTTTTACAATGGCCATGGAATAAACCATTTTTACAAAAATAAAAACAAACAAAAAAAGCGAGGTGTTTTGGTATAATACCTTTTCAGGTGTGTGTATACGTGGCTGCATGATGGGGTGGGGCGGGGGGCGCGTCTCAGGGTCTTCTGTGATTTCACAGAACTGTCAAACTGTACAGTTTTCCAACTTGCCATATAAAAACGATGGGTTTGCATTTTAGTTGCAACAATAAAAATTTTTTTTCTAAAGAATATTGATTTGGGGTGCTTCCCATTTCTTTGCTTAACTGGGCCTAAACCAGAATGGACAACCCTGCTTTCCATCCCTGCTGACGTGAGGCAGATGCTGTCAAGCAGGGTTACAAGTTTCCACATGTAGGAATCACAAGGCTTCCACGAGAGGCACTGGGGCATTCTCCCTGAGCGGGAGTTCATTAAACACGCCCTGCCTCAGCCCACTTCCTTCAGCGGAACCCACCTGTGGAACATAGGGCCCTTGGATAACTTAACAAACTTGCACAAGTTGTTTGAAAAGCTGTTCAGACCTCAAGAACATGCCTCTTAACCAACTGCCTGTGAGACACAGTGGTTGTTCCCGCATCTCAGTACCTCCGTACGGTCATGTTCGATGTAGAATTGACGTGGAAATAGTAAGATGTGCAAAATCATGTAGTCTTCCTTTTTTGTACAAAATAAATGTAAATCTCCCCTAAAGTGATTTTTTTGGCTTTTTGTTTTGAAATAATTTCAGACTTGCAAAATGTTGCAAAGAGAGTACAAAGAATTTTCTTACATCCTTCAAGGCTTTCTGACTGGTTCAAGGCTGGCTGCTGAGTGAACTGTTTATGCTTGGCCTCCTGGCAGGATCCTGGAAGTGGGAAACCAGCACAGTCATGGTCATGTGACCACACAATGCCCACTGTGGCGGCCAGGATGATAGTGCCACACCCACGGTCACTTCAGTCTGTTTCACATACCAAAAAAAATGGCATCTAGGCTTTTATGAAGAGGTGGAATGCCAGTGTGGAAAAAAATAAATTTGTGACTTTGGAACAGAAATCAGATGGGGCCAAAGGCCAGGCAGAGGCCATACCTCATGATGTCTGGGTAGGAGAGGGCGTCTGGGAGCCTTAAGAGAATCCTTGGGGCACACCGCCTTTCCTATGCCTGCTTCTGTGGGAGAGCCCACTCCACAGTGTCACACTGGAGCAAGCGCACTCGGGGATAGGAGGGCAGCTTCCCCCAGCGGGATGTTTGAAAAGAACCACTATTTACTTTTTTCAGGTAAAATGAAACACCAATAAAAATTGTTCTTTTTAATTGAAATTTCAGAAAGTTCAACATATAAACAAATCAAATAAATACTAAGTTAAATCGAAAAACACAAAATATATATAGGAAACATAAATGAGAATGTTTAAGTTACAGAATTCTCCGATGCCATTGTTGATAGCCACATGCACACCCCAGGTTATCTTGACATCATTAACCCAACAGCTCAGGACACATTCGAGTCTTAGACTTAACAGGAAACTAACTTTGTGTCTTTAAAGCAACATGCTGTTCAGTGAAATCTCACACCAACTATGGCATCTGAAGCAATTTATTTAATAGGCCTTAAGTTGACTTGCTTCAGAAGTTGGATTTCACTTTGTTTAGTGAGGTCACAGTGAATGCTTTTACTGACGTGACACTTGAGGCTTCTGCTTTCCTTTGTGCTCTTGAACATGGTGGAAAGAAGGTCCATGGGCAGCGGTCTGTCACCAGGCATTTGGGCCACGGCTCAGGTTAAGAGTTGAATCGGAACCCCTGGCTCTGTACAGTGGAAATGACTGGACCCACTGCACTCTCCTTATCAAGCTCATCGGCCTGCCGGCCTCCGCCGGCCCAGTATTTGCTGAGCCAGAGGTGCTGAGCCAACTGACTGCAAGGAGACAAGGTCACCTTGGAGCCTTTTATTCTAGGCCTCGACTCCTTCATAGCATGGCTGGCTCTGCATCCTGGGGAACAAATTCTCAAAGCCAAAAGCTGATAGGTTGGTTGAAGTGGCTCGGCCTTTGAAGTGCTATACATCCCTTGTGCTCCTATACAAAAGTCCCACTTGTCCCCTGGGGCTTTATAACTGATCTGAGACTCAGAGCAACTCTGGCCAGCTCACACTTCAGGGGCGCACACAGCGTGCCCCCATCCTCAGCTCGGCCCATGTCAGGACTGGGCAGCAGCAAAAACAAAGATGCCAGGCTGAGGGTTTTTTTAAAATATTGTGATTTCAACATCTGCCTCCTGGAAAAAGGCTTCTTCTCTTTGTTCTGAGCAAAGTTTGTCCATTTTCTCAAAAGCGAAGCGTCCTTTTTCACCTGTAATATTAAGATGATTTGTCACCAGATTGTTCCCTGCCTTGGATGGCCTTAGCAGTTACTGACACCTGGGTCTCAGGGGCCAGGGGCATTGGGGTGCACCTAACTGGCCGACTCGTGCCTCGCCCTTATGTCCAAGACAGAGTCTACTGAGTCATGTCCCTTGCATCTGCTTTCATTCCCAAGAAACATAAACTGACATTTGAGGAGGAAATAAAGCATTTCTTGCCACCTTAACCATGAAGGAAACTTGCATAAAGCATTTCTTGCCACCTTAACCATGAAGGAAACTTGCCTTGGCCAAATACAGTTAAACGGTTGCTGGCCATGGCTGCTCCAGCACAACCTTGCTAAGGACCCGGGGACCCCGCTGCACATAACGATTGATGGTGCACTTTACCGAATGACAGCGTGGCTTCCCGGGCTGCCGCTCGCACAGCCTCCAGGTCAGATTGGCACAGGCCAGCAATCTGATCAATGCTTTCGATGCCCTGCTTAGGAAAAAGAGGATCCATTAGGAGACTTTTTTATTATTACTGATTTCAGAGAAGAAGGAAGAAGGGGAGAGTAGAGAAACATCAGTGATGAGAGAATCATTGATGGGCTGCCTCCTGCACGCCCCCTACTGGGGATCAAGCCCACAACTTGGGCATGTGCCCTGATCAGGAATCGAACCGTGACCTCCTGGTCAATAGGTCGACGCTCAACCACTGAGCCATGCTGGCCAGGCCATTAGGAGACATTTTAGGTAGCAGGTAGAATCCACTTGTAGAAGCCTGCAGGACCAGCCCTAGCATGGTCTGGGGCCCGATTTTTTTTCTGAAGGCTCTGGGCTGCTCTTGTGGGCTCAGGTTCATCCATAGCACCAATGCAAGGGTCTCATTTTTTAGTTCTGACACCTGCCAGCAAATAGGCCACTAGCATTGATGTATGGACAGCTGGCAGGTCCACCTTGAAAATGAGAAGACCTGATACCCTCTGGACCTTGCTACCTCCTGCCTGGTCTCCCAACCATTCCCTCCAGGTCAGACTAGGAGAGGGGCAGTCAGAGGCCCCGATTCGGGACCACTGACCCCAGGCTGCTCCCCAGGGCCAAGGAACAGAGAGCACTTCAGCACCCTTTACTGGGAACCCTGACTGGCTATTTGATTATAACCAAACCATTTCAGAGTGAATGGGGTGTTTAATCTGTGCTGGACTATTTTTCACCTAGTAAATTGGCAATTATTTTTTTAAATGAGAATTCTAGATGCAATGAGGTTGAAGCTTTATGCACAAAAATGCTTATAATGACATTATTTATAATAAATGGATAATGAACCTAAATTATCTACAATAAGAGTAGGGGAGTAGGTTAAATTAAAGTGTAACTTTGATAGATCCTTTATAAAAAATTCCAAGGCATTACCAGTCTAACACAAAAAGTTATTATTTTGTTCACTGTTTTTAAACTATAATATCAATTTTCAGTGCCCACACATGCCCACAAACAAAAAGGAAATATACCAAAATGTCGGTAGTTTCCTCTGTTAGGATGATGGGTAATTTACATATGTTTTACACTCTTTTTCCTCTACAATGAGCTTTTAGACATTTTTAATCGATATTAAAGCAGATGATGCAGGAGTTCAGAAGTGAATTTCTGGAGCCAGCTGCTCTTCATCAGAGGCAAAGCAGATGCTCACGGCTGGTGGGGCTGCCGGCTGCTCCTCTCAGGCCAGCTCTGAAGCTCCTTTTTTGCCAGCAGTGATTTTTATTATTACTATTATCTTTTTGGTCCTGGTGGAAAAGTTTTGAACTAACTTTAACCACAAGCAGGCTTCTCCGTCACCGTGAGGACAGGTTGAACTCACCCGGAGCTGTTTCAGTGCCATGCATGCAGCTTGCTGGAGTTTCGCATCATTCTCGGTCAGGGCGTTGGTGTAGAAAAGCAAAGCCTGGGGAATGAGGCTGCTGTGAATGAAGGGGGGAGGGTGCCGGAAGCAGTCCACGGTGCCCACGGCTGGTCCCCCAATTGCTGGCAGTAAGTCAAGCCCTTACCTTTTTCTAAACAAAAATCAGGCCATGATCCATTAATCTTTGGGCCAGGTGCAAAGTCCCAAGATGTATACTACAGTACTGAGCTTCTCTCTAAAAACACTGGTCTGGTGGCAATCGAGTGCAGAAAGCTCTTTTTGTCTAATGTCTATGAAATGCATTCCCGAACTGCTATCTAGAGGAAATGCTAACTCAAGATCGGATGTTCGGCCGGGACAACAGAACTGAACACACAGACGGAAAAGCATCTCCCCTTCCTCACCCTCCTCCAGTCACAGCTCTGCCCCTGCCCCCTTGGTCACATGACCATGGACAAGTCACTTCCTCTGGAAAATAAAGTTGGCACTTGCTTCACAAAATTGTTGTAAGCACATGGGGATGTGCCTGGCCCTCAGCAAGCCTGAGGCTATAGTAAGGCCCCAATATTGCCCTCCTCAGGGGCTGATATCTTAAATCTAGAATAGTCACAGGTCCAGGGACCTAGAAGGCATAGGGGTCCACTTTCTTGGTTTTCAAAAAGTGGACTGAACACAGCCAGCCAGCCACACATTAATTGCAAGTAAATGAGGATGACCACTGGAATTCTAAGAAACATGCAAGTGACATCTCAAAGACCAAACAGATAATGTTCTTTAGAAACACTGAGGTGAGGGAGGTGGGTGGCATGTGGTTCCTCCCAGAGCTGGTGCTGCCGATGGCGATGGTGTGAGGAGAGCTGTGTTCATGTTTGGAGCATCCCTAAATCCAAATGCCTTGCGGCAAATGCAGCCCCCGTCACACACACTTTGGTCTTTTCCGAGAGAAAAAGCCTCCCTCCCTCCACCTCCCCACACCTACGGCCAGGAGGCTGCCACCTCCTCTCATACATACCTTTTCCCGAAAGCTCTTGTTCTTGGCTGCGCTGGCCAGAGACGCGCTGGCCGCCCTGCACACCTTGGGAGGCCCGTCCAGCTGGAGCAGGGCCCAGGCCCTTAAGGTCTGGGGCAGGGGCTGGAGCTGGCCCAGCCGCTTCCCCTGCAGCTTCCTGACGGCCTTGGCCTGCCCCGTGCACTGCAGCTCCTCCACGAGGGTTACTGGAAGAGACGGAAAAGTGAGCCCGGGGTCCCCTCTGATGGTGGCTGGGCTGTCCAGCTGCAGGTTGGTTTGGCCATGGCATTAGCCATGGAGAAGCAAGTCCCAGATCAAGCCCACGTGGTCACCAAGGCCCATCTGGACTGGCTTCAGCGGGGCCTCCTGGAACCTCTAGGAAGGCTTTCTAGCAAGGGATCCAGTCCGCCCTGAAAACCGATACAGCCCCAGCCCAGACTTCAGGGTCGCAGG